AGATGTAGGCTGCAATGGAAAGGAACTTGCTTCCAGGAATAATAAGAAACAAAAGTATCTTGCTCAAGGTGCAGAAGCAGAGTTGGGTTCACCTTTTGAAATCGGAACTGGAGTGGAACTCCTAGCTCATGAAAAAACAAACAAACAAACAAACAAACAAACTTTTCCCCACCCTTGCTTGGAACTAAGGCTTATATGAGTGCCTAGAAGAGCAAAAGTTTATAGGTAAAGTACCCCAATTAGAAACCTAGTTAAAACACAAGGCAACTGAGGCACAAAATATAATGAATCCCTTATGTCACTATTGGTTAAAGTCCTAACTACCTACATAAAACCTATTTCAAAAGTGGTTTCAGGTGACACTGACAATTAGGAGCAATCATAAAATTTCTAGAGACAGAAAGACATTACATGCGGAGAAATATCTGGGAAAGAGGGGGAGAACAATAATTTGCAAATCTCCCTTTCCAGATGTGACAAAATCTAAAAACACATAAACCCACAAATATCGACACTATCACAGAGTAAGGTAAGCCTCCAGACAAAACAAAAATAACACACTGAAGAAAACATTAATTAAGGGTATTTAAAGATACAAAGCAATGGTTAATATTAAAATAAACAAAACAGGAACAGGTGGGTATACAATCTATCAAAAATCTTAAAAATAAAAAATTATCTGGGCCACCATTGTCATGTAACAGGTAAAGCTGCTGCCTGAGATACCAGGAGCCCAAATGGGTGCCAGCTCCCTGCCAATAGCCTGGGGAAAGCAGCAGAAGATAGCCAGAGTATTTGGGTCCCTTCTACCTATGTGAGAGACTGAATGAAGCTCCTGGCTCCTGGCTTTGGCCTGGCCCAGTCCTGGCTACTGCAGCCATCTGGGAAGTGAACCATGTGATGGAAGATTCTCTCTCTCTGCCCCTCTCTCTCTCTCTCTCTCTCTGTAACTCTGTTAAATAAATAGGACCAAGTACAAAGACACCAAGAAAAGAATCTACTGCAATCCTCTTATCCATGGGAACGCAAAGATCTTCAGTGGGTACCTGAAACTGCCCTAAACATACTGTATTTTTCCTACACATACATGGCTATAATAAAGTTTATTTTATTATACTTATTATATATTTATTTATATTTATATTTTATTTATTTATGTATTAGGCACCAAAGAGGGATGGGAAATAACTAATGATAAAATAAAAAACTAAAACGGGGCCGGTGCCATGGCGCAGTAGGTTAATCTTCCACCTGAGGTGCCAGCATCCCATATAGGTGCCGATTCTAGTCCTGGCTGCTGCTCTTTATATCTAGCTCTCTGTTATAGCAGTAGAAAGCAGTAGAAGATGGTCCAAGTGCTTAGGCCCCTGCACCCATGTGGGAGACCAGGACGGGGCACCTGGCTCCTGCCTTCGGTTCCGCACAGCTCCGGCCATTGCAGCCAGTTGGGGAGTGAACCAACGGAAGGAAGACCTTTCTCTCTGTCTCTCCCTCTCACTGTCTGTAACTCTATCTCTCAAATAAATAAATAAAATCTTTTAAAAAATTATACTAATATACTATAACAAAAATTAAGTGAATGTGATGGTAGGTAAGTAAAACCACATAAAGCAAAACTGTGATAAGGGGGCATTACTATAATTGGTGTACTTAGAAAATGGTAAAGAAGTAATTATATTTATAATTAAGTGAGCAAGGGAATGGCACCTAAGGGAAAAGATGTCAATGGAGATGAAATAATGTAAAGCCTTCTAGGACCTGGGAAATTTGAATATGATTCATAGTAAAAACGGAACAGCAGAGGATAGTTTGGAGTAGAGAAATATCAAATTAAAAATTAATACTTTAAAAGTATCATAGTAGCTTATTAGTTAAGAACAAGCTTAAAGGGTCAAGGGTGAAAGCAAAATGACCAGTCAGAAAGCAATTACAATACCTCAGGCGATAGGTGTAGTGGTGTTAAACATGATAAACATCTGCATATTTTAGAGATAGAGCTAGTAGGATTTCTGTATGGATTGCATATGAGATGTAAAAGTGAGAGAAGAGTTAAAAATATCTCCAAAGCTTCTGCCTGAACAAGGGGAAGAATGCAGTAGATATTATCTGATATATGGAGGAGGAGACCGGTGGACACTAGGGCTTGGTATTTGGACATGTAAAATTTGAGATGCCTAATGAACACACAAGAGAAGAATCAGTTTTATAAAGACATCTGGAATCAGTAAAGAAGTTAATACTAGCAACACAACTTTAAAACACACTACAATACATTTAACACCATAAAGTAGACAGGATCATCTTGGGAGTGAAGTAATTTTGGATAAAGAAGTCTAAGGCTTAAAGCCTGGAACACTCCAACATTTACAGGTTAGTAAGATGATGAAAATACTGTAAACGATACAAAGAAGGTTAAGCCAAGAATAGTAAGGGAGAATTAAGAGAAAGGTAAGTGAATAAATAATACATTTCTAGAAGAAATGATCAATTATGCCAAATGCTGCCAGTATGTTAAAACCGACAAGCAACTGGCCAGTGCTGCGGCTCACTAGGCTAATCTTCTGCCTTGCGGTGCCGGCACACCGGGTTCTAATCCTGGTCGGGGCGCCGGATTCTGTCCTGGTTGCCCTCTTCCAGGCCAGCTCTCTGCTGTGGTCCGGGAGTGCAGTGGAGGATGGCCCAAGTGCTTGGGCCCTGCACCCACATGGGAGACCAGAAAGAAGCACCTGGCTCTTGGCTTCGGATCAGCATGGTACGCTGGCCGTGGCAGCCATTGGAGGGTGAACCAATGGCAAAGGAAGACCTTTCTCTCTGTCTCTTTCTCTCACTCTCCACTCTGCCCGTCAAAAAACAAAAAACAAAAACAAAAAAAAAAGAGACAACTAACTGCTGGATATAGCAATATTACTTTATGTTCACTGATCATCTTGTCAAGAGCTGTTTAGGAGAATGGCATAGGTCAATTACAGAGTGAATTTAAGAGAGAAGGAAAAGATAGAAATAGTATGAACTACTCTTCAGAGAAATTTTCCTGTGCAAAGGAGCCGTGAAATAGGACAATTCAAGGGAAACAGAGATCACATGACTTTTTTAAAAACAGATGTGAGATAAAACAACATGTTTCTATGCTGACAGGAATGATCTAGGACAGAGAGAGGTATTGATGAGATAGGAGAAAGAGAAATCAATCCAAACATCTACAGCCAACTTATATTTGATCAAGGATCTAAAACCAATTCCTGGAGCAAGGACAGTCTATTCAATAAATGGTGCTGGGAAAACTGAATGTCCACATGCAGAAGCATGAAGCAAGACCCCTACCTTATACCTTAAACAAAAATCCACTCAACGTGGATTAAAGACCTATCTACGAACTGACACCATCAAGTTATTAGAGAACATTGGAGAAACCCTGCAAGATTGGCAGCGGCAAAGACTTCCTAGAAAAGACCCTGGAGGCACAGGCAGTCAAAGCCAAAATCAACTATTGGGATTGCATCAAATTGAGAAGTTTCCATATTGCAAAAGAAACAGGAGAGTGAAGAGACAACTGACAGAATGGGAAGAAATGTTCGCAAACTATGCAACAGATAAAGGATTAATAACCAGAATCTACAAAGAGATCAAGAAACTCCACAAAAACAAAACCAACAACCCACTTAAGAGATGGGCCAAGGACCTCAATAGACATTTTTCAAAAGAGGAAATCCAAATGGCCAACAGGCACATGAAAAAAATGTACAAGATCACTAGCAATCAGGGAAATGCAAATCAAAACCACAATGATGTTCCACCTCACCCTGGTTAGAATGGCTCACATACAGAAATCTACCAACAACAGATGCTGGCAAGGATGTGGGGAAAAAGGGACACTAACCCACTGTTGGTGGGAACGCAAACTGGTAAAGCCACTATGGAAGTCTGTCTGCAGATTCCTCAGAAACCTGAATATAACCCTACCATTCAACCCAGCCATCCTACTCCTTGGAATTTACCCAAAGGAAATTAAATTGGGAAACAAAAAAAAAAAAATGGTCTGCACCTTAATGTTTATTGCAGCTCAATACACAATAGCTAAAACATGGAATAAACCTAAATGCCCAGCAACAGTAGACTGGATAAAGAAATTATGGGATATGCACTCTATAGAATACTATACAGCAGTAAATAAAAATGAAATCCGGTCATTTGCTACAAAATGGAGCCATCTGGAAAACATTATGCTGAGTGAAATAAGCCAGTCCCAAAGGTACAAATATCATATGTTCTCCCTATGGGCAACAACTAACCGAGCACCAAAAAGGAAACGTGTTAAAGTGAAATGAACACTGTGAGAAACGGTGACTTGATCAGTCCTTGCCCTGACTGTTGAAGAACAACTTAATATGTTATCCCTCTTAGTATTTTTTTGTTTATTCTACTTAATACTATTGGTTGAATTCTGTAATTAATACACAGTTATTCTTAAGTGTTGAAACTTAACTGAAAAGTGAACCCTGTTAAATAAAAGAGTGGGAATAAGAGAGGGAGGAGATGTACAATTTGGGACATGCTCAATCGACTGGCCCCAAATGATGGAGTTAGAAATGTGCCAAGGGATTCCAATTCAATCCTATCAAGTTGGCATGTACCAATGCCATCTCACTAGTCCAAGTGATCAATTTCTGTTCACAATTGATCAAAATGATAGGACTAAGCGTCAAAAGGATCACATAAACAAGACTAGTGTTTGCAAATACTAACCAATAGAATAAAAAAGGGAGAGAAAAACCCAACATGGGAAGTGAGATACACAGCAGACTCATAGAATGGCAGATGTCCTCAACAGCACTCTGGCCTCAAAATCAGCCCTTAAGGCATTTGGATCTGGCCGAAAAGCCCATGAGAGTATTTCAGGCATGGAAAGCCAAGACACTCTGGGGAAAAAAAAATAACCTAAATGAAATATCTCTGCGAGTGAGATCCCAGTGGAAAAAACAGGTCATCAAAGAAGGAGGTACCTTTCTCTGAAGGCAGGAGAGAACTTCCTTTGACTACGACCTTGTCTAAATATGATCAGAGTCGGTGAACTCAAAAGAATTCCATAGCCTTGGCAACTCATGACAAGAGCCTAGGGTGATTACTGATGTCATAAACAAGAGTGTCAATTTGTTAAGTCAGCAACAGGAGTCACTGTGTACTTACTCCTCATGCAGGATCTCTGTCCATAATGTGCTGTACAGTGTGATTTAATGTTATAACTAGTACTCAAACAGTATTTTTCACTTTGTGTTTCTATGTGGGTGCAAACTGTTGAAATCTTTACTTCATATATGCTAAACTGATCTTCTGTATATAAAGAGAATTGAAAATGAATCTTGATGTCAATGCAAGGGGAGAGGGAGCAGGAAAGGGGAGGGTTGCAGGTGGGAGGGACATTATAAGGGGGAAGCTATTGTACTCCATAAGCTGTACTTTGGATATATATATTAAATATGTGGTCAATCCTAGAGAAGGTTCCATGTACTGCTGAGAAGAATGTAAAATCTTTAGCTGTAGGATTGAAAGTTCTGTAGATATCTGTTAGATCCATTTGGGCTATAGTGTCGTTTAAATCTACTGTATCCTTGTTGATCTTCTGTCCTGTTGATCTGTCTATTTCTGAGAGTGGACTATTGAAGTCCCCCAGTACTATTGTATTGGGGTCTAAGTCTCCCTTTAAGTCCCTTAACAAATCTTTTAAATAAACTGGTGCCCTGTAATTACGTGCATATACATTGATAATTGTTATATCTTCCTGTTGAATTGATCCCTTAATCATTATATGGTGCCCCCTTTGTCTCTCTTAACAGTTTTTGTGGTAAAGTTTATGTTGTCTGATATTAAGATGGCTACGCCCGCTCTTTTTTCATTGCTGTTGGCATGGTATATCTTTTTCCAGCCTTTCACTTTCAGTCTGTATGCATCTTTGTTGGAAAGATGTGTTTCTTGTAAGCAGCAAATAGATGGGTTTTGTTCCTTAACCCAATCAGCCAATCGGTGTCTTTTAACTGGACAGTTCAGGCCATTAATGTTCAATGTGACTAATGATAAGTGGTAACTTTGCCCTGCCATTTGCCAAAGATAAGTTCTAATATATGCTTTGAATTCCCTGTGATCTTTTGCTGTGAGCTTTCCTTCCTTTATCTTATTTCATATTGATGACCGTGTTTCTGTGTGCAACACATCGTTAAGCATCTTTTGCAGGGCTGGATGAGTGGCGACAAATTCTTTCAATTTCTGTTTGCTATGAAAAGTCTTTATTTCACCTTCATTCACAAATGATAGCTTTGCAGGATATAATATTCTGGGCTGGCAGTTTTTCTCTCTTAGTACCTGGGCTATATCTCGCCATTCCCTCCTAGCTTGTAGGATTTCTGATGAGAAGTCAGCTGTGAGTCTGACTGGAGATCCTCTGAGAGTAATCTGACGTTTCTCTCTTGCACATTTTAGGATCTTTTCTTTATGTTTCACTGTGGAGAGTTTAATTACAACGTGTCGTGGTGAGGATCTCTTTTGGTCGTGTTTATTAGGGGTTCTATGAGCTTCCTGTACTAGGATTTCTCTGTCCTTCTCCAAACCTGGGAAATTTTCTGCTAATATCTCACTAAAAAGGCCTTCTAATCCTTTCTCTCTCTCCATGCCTTCAGGAACTCCTAGAACCCGAATGTTGGTTTTTTTAATAGTCTCCTGAAGATTCCCGACAATATGTTTTAGGTTTCTAATTTCCTCTTCTTTTCTTTGGTTTGACCGTATCCTTTCCTGTGCTCTGTCTTCTAAGTCCGATATTCACTCTTCTGCTTCACCCATTCTGTTTTTAAGGATCTCTAGTGTGTTTTTCATTTGATCTATTGAATTCTTCACTTCATTATGATTTCTCGTCACTATCAGTTTCCTGTTCTACTAGTTTCTGCGTTTCATTTTGATTCCTCCTTAACATTTCATTTTCACGAGAGAGATTTTCTATCTTGTCCATTAAGGATTTCTGTAGTTCAAGAATTTGTTTTTGAAAACTTCTAAATGTTCTTATCATAAATTTTTTGAGATTTGCTTCTTGCATTTCTTCTATCTCATCATCTTCATAATCTTGAATTGGGGTGTCTTTTTCATTTGGGGGCATCATAGTGACTTCCTTGTTTTTATTACCTCGGTTTTTGCATTTGTTTTTTTGGTATATTGGAGATACTTGGTTTTTTCACTGTGGTACTTATTCTTGTTATACTATGACTCTAGATTAAGTGTACTGTCTGCTTTTGATGGAGCCTTAGAGGCCTGAGATGGGTGTGGCCTGAGAGCTCTGTTTGGTGTGCCAAAGGTGACACTCCCAGGTTAGGCGTGGTAGATCTCTCTTTCTTTCTTTCTTTCTTTTTTTGATTCAAAAGGGAAGTAATTCCGCACAGCTGAACGAAGTTGGAGGTAGTTAGCAGGCAAATGATATACCCAAAGGAGCCAGAGATCGGAAGCTCTTTCCCAAGGACCACACAGGGAATCTGTTCTGCCCTCAGAGTGGGCTCAAATTCTCCTTCAGTCTCCCACTGGGTTGCCAAAGTTACGGAATTGTAGTGTCTCTGGAGAGTGCTCACGTGAATTCCGTGAGTTCTTTCCCCCACCCTCTCTTTTTTCACAGTCTCAGTTCAGTAGCACCACAAATTCACTAGGTCCTAATCTCCTATTAATTCACCCTGCCCAGAGTCAGCTTTTTCTGCTAGGCTCAGGGCCGGTGCAGACCTGAGGTCGCTCTGCTTATGACGTATGTCCAAGATGGTGCCTGCTCTTTGTCTTACTCGCCTTTGAGAGGTGAGCAGAGAGAGAGAAACCTGTGTCCGTATTGGTCACTTTTTTTTCCTCTCTCTCTCTTCTAGTTAGCCTGGTGAACTTTTCCCCCCGGGGTCGTTCCCTCTAGCCTCCTCTTTCTGCTTGCCTGCTGGTGTCTCGGGCTATTGAGGTTCAGTTCACCTCGCATTCCAGCGCTGGTGTGTTGAGTCTGCCGCTGGTGTCCCGAACTGTGGGATCCCACGCTCTCCACACAGGTCCACTGTGAATCACTAGTTCCGGAAGAGTTTCTTCTGCTGTTTCTTCCCCTACTCTTCCTTGAACCTGCAGTATCTCCACTTTTATTAAACTGTAACTCCCCGGACTATCAGTGTGCTCCCTTCCTATTCCGCCATCTTGCCACCCTCCTTATTTTTCTGCCTCAAAATAACTGACTAGGACAAAAAGGCCATAAAGCAAGTCTCAGCAAATTCACAAGAATTAGAATCATACCATGCAGCTTCTCAGACCACAGCGGAATGAAGTTGGAAATTAGCAACTCAGGAATCCCTAGAGCATACGCAAACACATGGAGATTGAACAACATGCTCCTGAATGAACAATGGGTCATAGAAGAAATCAAAAGAGAAATCAAAAATTTTCTGGAAGTAAATGAGGATAACAGCACAACATACCAAAACTTATGGGACGCAGCAAAAGCAGTGTTAAGAGGAAAGTTTATATCAATAGGTGCCTACATCAAGAAATTGGAAAGGCACCAAATAGATGAGCTTTCAATTCACCTCAAGGATCTAGAAAATCTACAGCAAACCAGACCCAAATCTAGTAGGAGAAGAGAAATAATTAAAATCAGAGAAGAAATCAACAGGATTGAATCCAAAGAAACATTACAAAAAATCAGCCAAACGAGGAGCTGGTTTTTTGAAAAAAATAAACAAAATTGACACCCCATTGGCACAACTAAAAAAAGAAGAGAAAAGACCCAAATCAATAAAATCAGAGATGAAAAAGGAAACATAACAACAGACACCACAGAAATAAAAAAATCATCAGAAATTACTACAAGGACTTGTATGCCAGCAAACAGGGAAACCTATCAGAAATGGATAGATTCCTGGACACATGCAACCTACCTAAATTGAACCAGGAAGACATCAAAAACCTAAACAGACCCATAACTGAAACAGAAATTGAAACAGTATTAAAGACCCTCCCAACAAAGAAAAACCCAGGACCAGATGGATTCACTGCTGAATTCTACCAGACATTTAAAGAAGAACTGACTCCAATTCTTCTCAAACTATTCAGAACAATCGAAAAAGAGGGAGTCCTCCCAAATATATATTAAATAAAAGTTAAAAAAAAAAGAGTTTCCTCTTTTGAAAAATGTCTCCTATTCACATCCTCTGTCCATTTCTTAATTGGATTATTTGTTTTGTTGTTGTTGAGTTCCTTCAGCTCTTCATGGATTCTGGATATTAATCCTTTCCCAGTTGCACATTTTACAAATATTTTCTCTCATTCTGACAGCTGCCTCTTCACTTTAATGAGTGCTTCCTTAGCATGATATAATCCCACTTGTCTATTTTTGTTTTGAATGTCTGTGTTTTTTGGGGTCTTTTCCAAGAAGTCCTTGCCTATACCAATGTCTTAACAGAGTTTTCCCAATGTTCTCCTCGAGTAATTTGATGGTATTAGGTCATAGATTTAGATCTTTCATTTTTTTTTCCAGTTCTTCATTGGGAGGTCTTTATTACTGATACAAACTCCAGCTTGGCTATTGGTCTGTTTATATTATCAAGTCTTCATGAATCAATTTTGGTAGATTGTATGTGTCTAGGAATTCACCCATCTCTTCTAGATTTTTCAATTTTTTGGCATTTAGCTATTTGTAGTGATTCTAAATGATTATTTTTATTTCTGTGGTATCTGTTGTTAATTCTCTTTTTCATCTCTGATTTTATTGATTTGGATTTTCTCCCACACCCCCAATTTTTTTGTTACTTTGGGCATGATTTTTTTTTTTTTTTTTTCAAAAAACCAGCTCTTACTTTCACTGATCTTCTGTGGGTTTGTTTCAATTTTGTTTATTTCTTCTCTAATTTTAATTATTTCTTTCCTCCTACTACTTTTGGGTTCCATTTGTTGTTGCAGTTCTAGGTACTTGAGATATACTGATAGCTGGTTTATTTGGTACCTTTCCCATTTTTTGACATATGAATCATTTGCTATAAACTTCCCGGTTAACAGTGATTTTGCTGTCTACTATGAGTTTAGATACATTTTACTATCATCTTCATTCACTTCCAGAATTTCCTTTTATTTCTCTTTTGATTTCTTCAATGATTTATTGTTCATTCAGGAGCATGTTGTTTGATCTCCATGTATTTTCATAAATTCTAGAGATTCCTAAGTTGTTAATTTCCAGCTTCATTCCATTGTGGTTAGAGAAGATGCAGGGTATGATACTGATTTTTTTTAATTTGCTGAGACTTGCTTTATGGTGTAGAATATGGTCTATCTTAGAGAAAGGTCCAAACACTGATGAAAATGTATTCTGCACATGTAGGAAGAAATGTTCTGTAGATGTCAGTTAGGTCCATTAGTTTCATTTTGTAGATTAGCTCTGTTGTTTCTTCGTTGATTGTCTGTCTAGTTAATCTATCCATTGACAAAAGTGGGGTGTTGAAGTCCCCCATTACTATTGTATTGGAATCTATGTCTCCCATTAGACCTATTAACATTGTTTTAAGTATCCAGCACCCTGGCATCATGCATGTACATTTATTATAGTCACATATTCCTGTTGAATCAATCCCTGAATCATTATATAATGCCTTTTTTGGTCTTTTTAAAAATTTTTGTGTTAAAATCTATTTTGTCTGATATTAGGATGGCTACACCTGCTTGTATTTGCTTTCTGACAGCATGAAGTATATTTTTCCATTCATTCACTTTTTGTCTGAGTGTATCTTTGTTGGTGAAGTATGTTCCTTGTGGGCAGCAAAGAGATGGGCCTTGTTTTTCAACCCATTCAGGGATTTCTCATGAATGAGATTAGTACCTTTATGAAATGAAACACTCAAAAAATGATCCCTCTCTCTCTACCATGTGAGGAAGCAACCACCAACTAAAGAATCCACTCTGGGAACCCAAATAATCAGCATTTTACTTTTGGACTTCTTAGCTTTCAGAACTATCATTAAAAAATGTCTGTTATTTTTGTATTTTGTTACAACAGCCAAACTAACACACAATGCCTCAAGTGATTCCAATGCACACAAAGTCTGAGAATCACTGAAATAATAATAGCTGACATACTTCTCAATAGATTCATGAAAGTGATACAATGCTCCAAATATAGGTTAAAAATTAAATACAAAATGTCAAATAAGGTCTTTAAAAATGCACTGCAATGATATATTTTATAATTAAAAACTCCAGAGTTGACTACTGCTATAATTTTTAAATTGAAAAACTATCACAACTCAAAACCCATATGGAGATTCGGCCAGCAGCTCCTCCCAGTGGAATGAAACACCTGATATCTTCATAACAGGAAAACATTCCCAAGAGAAAACAGTACTACAATGTGAATACATTTTTTATAGTAGAAAAAAATAAGGTTGTAAAATGTTTGCTTCAAGTTTAAAACATCACTAGCCTATCTGGTCATTTCAATTAATATATGCTCTATTTTTTATGAGACATAGAAAAGTTCCTAAAAAAAAAAAGCACTGTCAAGAAGCTGATGATGATCAATGACTGAGACAAACTCCTGTTTAGCTAATTAGAACCACTGATGTGCAATAATGATGTGAGCTAAGAATATTTGCAGATTTCTTTAGGATGAAAAATGAAGTGAAGTGAGGCTGTCAAATACACACAAGTTTAAAGCTCCAATCACTTTTCCCAAGAGTACTACCCATTTAAACATTTCACATTACTGTACTTAACCATGTGAATTACTATGCTAACTTTTTGTCATTTCTCTAAACACAAAAATATGAAAAATTATTCTAAATCAAGAAGCAAAATGTTACTGTATTATACATCGTGTCATATATAATATAACAGAATCATATTTTCTGGGTGTGAGCCCATTTTTAATGAGATGTCAAGATGAAATATTAGAGTCTAAAAGAAACATTTAACTATAAATGAGGATTTGATATAGGTCTGAATTAGAAAACAAAGAAAATAAAAAGCAAAATTTAATGAAGTTGATTATTGTTAATTAACAGATAATAGTACACAAAGTAAAGCTAGTTGCATGAACATTTGATTATAGTATCTGTTAAACTGCATATTTTACAAATATTATTGACTTTCACTTCAAACATATTTCCAATTTCTAGTAAACACTTTGATTCTAAAATAGTAAGGCTGGTAAAAACAGAAATTTAGGAAAATGACAATTTTATCATCATCAAATATTTATCCTTTATCCAAAAATCATTTTTTAACTATTTTCCTATTTTGAATATGCATAATGAATTACTATAATGCTTACTCATGAACAATACAATAACAATAAAATTTAAAGAAATCACAAAAATACATAAGAACACATCTTACTCTATAATAAAAACATTTATTGAAAAAAACCTTTTAGGACCCTGAACAAAAATAACTCAACAGATTCTAACACATAAAATCTTCAGTATAAAATATTTTAAAGCTTCAGATATACTTAGTATATTTCTTTTGCTTTTATACAGAACTCAGTCTTCATTATATAATCTAGTATTTACAATTATATTTTATTTTAATACATAATAAAAATTTATGACTATATCTGAAAACAAAAACCTGCACTTGGAAGAATCAACCTTATACATGAAAAAGAGTTTTTCCCTCCTCAATCAGGTATGTGCAGAAGACTACACAGGGTAGAATAAGGCTACAACATTTAAATCTCAAACTGTAAATTATATTTTATTGATGAATGTTTTCATCAAAAAAGAAATAATTTAATAACTACAAGTCAGTTTAATATATTACAATATAATGTTATATACTTACTAATGCAACATTATTTCTGAATATATAAAATTGATGCACAGAACACAACCTTTTCCACTTTATAATTAGAAATAAATGACTATTTCCTATATTTCTTCTAACTACATATGCAGATATTTCTGCATTTACTCAAAATTTATTATGTAAAACATTCATAAAAGAGTTGGAAAAGTTTATGTATTTCTTTAATAATCATACAAATATTTTTCACCTAGAATCTCACCATCTTTTACACTGTTCAAAAATATCAGCACTTCAGAACAGACTGTTTTAACATCTGCACATCACCAGGGTTGCCCCTCAGGATTTTTAAATGATGTCTGCCTGTGCTGAATAAAGTGCTAACTTGCACCTTGCATTTCAAACTGTGTCCTGAGCAGCCATCCAGTTGGTACAACACCAGCTGAATTCCCACAGGCCACTGTTCATTCAGGCTTGACTGCAATTATCATGTCAATATTTTGTGCTCCGATATGCAGATATGCACACATGCAAACTGCATAATACTTCCTTCTCCATGGAATGTTGACTTATGTTCAACGTTTTGGGAATTTTTAATGAAATCAGAAATAAACTTACATCAAATAAAGACAATCACAATTATTTTCACTGTAAAAACTAAAGTTGTTTCCGTATTACCCTTTCCATATATAGAGATGCTGATTTCTAAAATAACTATGCTTCACTATAATTCCACAGTTCTTCAATTTAAAGGTCTTCATAAAAGTTAAAAGACTATTTTTCAAGCTTCTTGCATCTATCATAAAAGTTCAAATATGTTTCTTCATACTTTATTGTATGTTATCTCACCTTGAACACTAGAGTGGTTCTAATTAAACACCTTTCTGTTAGTTCCCAT